CTCTTCTTGTTCATTAAATTAAATTTAAAATATAAAAAAAACCCCCTAAAATTCATTGGAAACAAATCCAAGTAGACCGAGGCCTATCTAATTTATTCTGAACATCGCGACATAACGATCTTTGAAATGCCATCCTCCCCCGTTCGGATCACGGGGCCGCCATTTTCTTGCCTGCGCGGCGATTTTGTGTCATACTTACGAAAAAATTAGATTTAGGCGATTATCTCACATCATGGAGCAATTTAAAGATTTATTTATGCTGAAAGTGAAACAAGCATGGATAATGACTGACATTTCGTGATATTTGGGGAAGATAAATCGCGTTTAAGACTTAGATTTAGCCTCATTTGGTTGTTCACGGGTCTTATTTGTTCGACCTGCGCAAAGTCCGACCGGAGCACGACAGACATGAAAAATGCGTTTTTCAAACTTAATTTAACAATAAATGTTAGAAAATGAAGAGAAGTGATGAAACTATGGCCTAGAACTGGTTAAAAACTTCATTTTGGACAAATACTGTGAGATCGTTGTGCCGTGAACGCAAATTCCAGTTTGTTCACCCGGTAGAATACGAGCGACGGAAACCCGGATGATCGTGAATGAATAGCCGTAAATCTTTTAAAATCAGTTTTTCTTGTTGTTTTTTTTTCTATGCAAATTATGGCAGTTATGATTAAAACATTGTCAAACATGTTTAATGACAACTAGGACTAAAAATATGCTAAAACTAACAACATTTAGAATTACGTGAAAAAGCGACAGACACATGCCGACAATGCAGGCGATTAGGATTTTTTCAAATATTTTTTTTAAAAATCGTGATTAATTTCATGTTTTTAATGCCAAATCATACTATTATCATTCTAGAACAAATTCTTAGCAAAATTAACATTAAAAATTATGAAAAAAATAAATTAGACTCTCCATGTGTTCTGTTTTCAAGTAAACATTGTCTGTTGTCATTCCATGGGTCCAGGAACTTCACAAAACCACAACTTTCACAAAAAGTAAAAACTCACAAAAATGTTGCTCTCCCAGCTTCTCGAAACTTCACTCTACGATATCAACTAAAGATGCACACACACACAGGTATCCCATTTCTGAGAAATTGTTCAGAATACAGAAAGTGCCATTTTGCCCTCTACTGTGTTTTCCGCCTTATATATTTTATTCCGTTCCACGAGTAAGTGCAATATGTAGTAAGAATGCTAGAAAAAAATCGTCTTTGAATAGGTTTCTGCCCAGGACAGGGTGTTTGTCTTGGATGAAGGTCATCAGGGTTGATGAGATGGATGAAAGAGGAGCAGGGTATCAGTTATAAGCTGATCAGGTTGCAGAAATATTTCTTCTCGTTTCACTGGCTACTGCATGCTGGTCAAACAGAAAGGGTTTGCTTGAAAGTGTACCAATTTGTTGTGGTAGTGGTCATGCCTTCCTTGATCTTACCCCCTAGCGATGCTCGTCATCCTCATGAGGTCCAGCTATCTTTGTCTTCTTTCTCTACTTTACCCGTTTTTTTACTGCTGCACTAATCTGGCATATCGTGTAGTAAATTCCTTATGTGATAAAATGCAGGGGTGGGGTGTAAGACAGTAAGCTACTACATATACAGTTGAACCTGCTAAGGGTAATCTGTACAAACGACCCCTACCCTTGTGTTTTTTCATTTTTATGGCACTGTCCAAGCCCTCCACCTGTCTAAGACAACCACTTTCCCCTCCGGCAACAGGTGGCTGTCTTGGACTGTTACAATTGTGCATATACCTATCCTGCCTACTTCTGCAGACCAGAGAAAAATTCAGTTGACATTTAGGGTTAGAATCTCTGGGGTTTTTCCCCAGCTGGCCTCGCTTCTTGTTCAAGAAAATTCTACTTGCAAGTAGTCTACAATGTGCCGGAAATTTTTGCTTTGTCAAGGTTTCAGTGTATTTCTTTTTGTCTTGTTTTGTTAAGACAATGCCCATTTGTGTCTTCCACAGCATGTGAGTGGTGAGGAGCACAAAGCCTTTATTCGTGACAAGTCCAATTATGAAGGACTAGACAAGGCTATTGGTATCATTCCATCAACCATCACATTTCTGCAGTCGGTATTACTTCAGCATTGTCTACGGAAACAGTGTGATCAGATCAGTTCTGATAAGGGGTACGTAATCATTTCCTTACTTTTGCTTATATACAAAATGTAATTAAAACTGACTTCAAGGTTATGTTGTGTCATTTATGTGAGGAACCCCTCATAATTTCAGACTTAAAATACTTAAACGAAGAAAAAGAAGTTTAGATAGTTTCAGAATGCTGTCTTGTCTGCCAGGGTATAAAGAGCGTAGAGCTTGCTGTTGAGCGGAAATTTGTGCAATACAAATGCTATTTATTATTATAAAGAAAAATTCTTGTGTTTATAGTATTTGGAGGTTGCACTTATTTTCGCTTTTTTTCCCTAATTCTTTGCACTGTGATAAGGGCAAAGTCCCATTCAGGTCAATAGATTCAGTGTGATTGATGTTATCAAATGCAAATCAACTTAATAAGATGCAGTTTTGCAACCAGTATCAAACCCGCATACTTTTTACAGAGCTGCCAACCGCATGCGAAAATTATGTATATTCTTACGGGTGTTTTTTTTAACTTTTGTACGCTTATAAGACTTTTTCATATATTGTACGTCTTTTTCATGTCAGCCGCGTAGCACTAGGGTTTTAGATTCCATATTATTCTTCTGCTTGCCCCGCAAATTTCTCTTGCATTTACCGCGTGAGCTGTGCTGCGGGTACGAAGTGGGACAAATGTGTGCGGGACGGTTTGCTTGTGTCTATGTACCGCTATATTTCTTTGTATCTATCATCAACACATTAGCATCAGTACTAACATTTCCCCTGTTCATCCAATGAAATTGCAGCAGATATTACTACTCATGACCCATTTAGACGCTCATAACCCATCTAACAACCCAAACATCACTTTCACATGTTTTCAGTGAGCTTGTTTCTACACAGTATTATAAAATTTATTTGTTTAGATCTGATTAATTCCATATTTGTGATTTGAAAGTTTTTAAAGTTTGAAAGCAACTGATTGAATAAACTTTCGGAAATTGGACAAACTCTCTGGTATTGGGAGATACAAATTTTGTAAGCACAGTAGTCTCCACCTAAACGCACGCCATACAAAAGCAGACTTTGTCATATGGCGTTTTTTTACTGTATAATTTAGATGTCTCCCTCCGTAAAAAGCTGCGACAACGTAGGACTACCGAAATTTCGTAGCAAAAGATCCGTACTCGCCTTCGTATCGTCCAGTACTAGTATAAGTTATGGATATTTACGGTAATTCTCTTGGCAATAATATAAGTTAATGTTATAGAAACCTGCCAGATTGCGCATTTCCTGCAATCGGCCATTATTCCACTATGCCCCATGTGTTCATTGCGGGTTGGTCGGCAGTACATTTTTACCTGTGGATTGATCAAAATCTGGCAAACTTTTTGTGCCAATTTTCTCCTTTCTATCATTCACTCATTTCATCTGTCTGTCTTCGGATTGTTGCAGTGGCTGGAAAATCTGCACGTTGATCAAGTAAATTAATCATAATAATAATAATAAATAGCATTTGTATAGCGCATGTCCCCGCTCAACAGCAGGCTCTATGCGCTTCACACTATATATTATTACCCCAGCAGACCATAGAACATTCCGAAACATTCTCAGCTTCCCGGGAAGCATACAGTGCAAGCAGCTGATTAAGCGCTCAAACACTAACAAACTGACAAGATCTTTCACTGTCTATAGCCGGGTACCCATTCCCACCTGGGTGAAGTGAGGAAAATTCGTGTAAAGTGCCTTCCCCAAGGACACAACGTCGGGCCCACGACCTTACGGTTGCGAGTCCGAGAGCCTATTTGACTTTTGATCTTAGACAGAAAATTACTGTCAGAAAGAAACTTTTCTACAAATTTGTCCAGATTTAGAGAAATGATCAATACGAAGTTTCTACGGCACGTTAACACGATAAGGGTCGCCATGAAAGAAATTTATTCTAAAACCAGCCTAAAACTACTAAAGTCAAGAATAATTCGAAGTCATGTTCCGAGGTTGTGACATGTGACATTCAGGCGTGAAAATTAAGGAAAATAAGGGTATACGCCGGGTAACTGTATTGTGAAGGTACATCTCTATTCAATATTCCCAGGTTTGCCTTTTATCAATGATGTGACGACAAATTAATTGAATTATAGTAGCAGTGGAAGGGGAACCTGTTTTTAAACATTGCCTTCAGTGGAAATATATTATGCAGATCTTGGTGAAGAAATCAAACAAGACAAAATGTTGGTAAAAAAAATAAATGTTATGGTTTGCAGGCAATCTCTTCAAACAAGCTCCCAAATGCCATTTTCAACCCTTTAAAAGCACTAAATTTCAATTTCTTCGGGCCTTCGCCTCCTGAACCCCCAGCAGAATTTTCTTTACTTTTCTTCTTCAGCTGGTGGAAGCACTGCTTCATGTAATGTTAAGTTAGACCTAGGCCTATGATGCGCAACACGCACGACTGCTGTAAAACACTAGATAGGCCTTTTAATGATTAAAGATTAGTCAAGATAGCCTTATCAGCTATGCTCGAAGAATTTATTACGAACTTTTTTGACAAATCACGAGAGAAATGTTTCTCTGAATATAGAGATCTGTGATTCTGATGTCGACCATATTACGGCCGGGGGTGGTCGCTGTCTCTTTGACTATCACCAACAGTTTCTTCTTATGCTATCTGTTCCAAACTTTTTATGGTGCATGCCATTACATTGAGTCTGTCTTTCTGCGCCCCCCCCCCACCCCGTATTCTTAACCGCAGTTGGGGAATCCTTCAGAAAACAATCACGTGTCGTCGCATTTTCGGCCAAAATGACCCACACCCTTCAAGGGAGATGACTAGAATATCAAAGCATGAGATGACTGCGTCTCTTCCTCCCTTTGCACAGTTTCACTTAAGGGGAGGAGCGACCCTTGATTTTGCAGATTTTGGGTCAGGCTATGCAAATTTTCTGTTGGCTGATTTTTCAAGATCAACCAGTTTTTTTTCCAAAAATAGCATGGATACATTTGAGAAAGTGTTTATTCTCCACGTAAATTGCCTTTAAAAACATGACGATGGGTTAATATAGTGAATTTTCACAATAATAGTTTTCGCAAAATGTAATTTTTTTGCCGTTTTTTCCCTACTCCTTCCTTAGTTTTCATCATTTTGAGATGAAACTTTCAGGAAACATAGATGGCAAGGCTGCCACCAATGTAACAGAGAGATATTTGCGAAAACAAAAACACTTTTCCATTGGCAAGCGATTACGCAACCTAAATTTTTAAAAAGTTTTTTATACTTTGGGAAAATTCTCATATATTTTTTTCTTTTGCACTTATTGAAATAAGCTTGCTGTTACTCTGATAGGGTCTAGTTCAGGTATACTCTCACCACATTTGGTCAAATTTGGTTGGTAAATAAGAAATCCTTAGGGATTTGAAATTCATTGTTTATTTTCAAGATGGCGGCCGTTTCCATAGTAACCGTTGTTGCTGTGCCCAAAAAAATGGCGCATCAAGAGATTTTACTATGCTTAACTTATATGTGTACTTAGATTTGATCTTGGGCAACAGACATAGAAAATGGTCCTCAAGGGTAGCTCCTCCCGTTAAATGCACTCCGTATAAATACACGCTGAAGAGCCCTCCCGAGCACCGTGCGTTAGGGCTGAGACTACTGTATAATTTTTTTATGACTAAGGCGCCGAAACTTATTATTTAAGATCTTCCTCTTTTTTTTTTAACCTAATCTTACTCTTTTTCACCATCAATTGTACTCTTTTTTACTAAATGTGGGTTGGCAGTTCTGCTCATTACCAGCACTATTTTTTTTTCTCAAAGTACATTATGACAATCTCTGTAAGGATAAATTGTCACATAATTTATTCTGGTTTGTTTGTTTTGTTCTCAGCCAAGAGGATTTTGCCAGAAGTATTACCCAAGTTCCTGATCCTCTGGTTTCCCCTCTGACAACGGAGAAAACTGGAAATCCTTCTCTAGGAGTGGCCATAGATCTACATACCCCACAGCCTGAGGTGTCACCATCCAAAGAGCAGCTGACAGTGACTGATCTCGATTTTGTCTCAAATGTGGAGGTTGCCAGTGCAGATGTAGCTGTTAGCCCCAGTGCTGTGGACCGCCCTCAAGCTGTGGTTATACGCAAACCAGTTCCCAGCGGACTGTTTACATCTCCAAGGAGACGACAGCCTACGCCTTCCAAAAAACCTCGGATGCAAGAGTGCTCTTTAGTGTTTAGGGATTCCCCGATGGCTAGTTTACAACCATCTTCGTGCAATAGCAATGCTAGTTTTCTTTGTGATGACAATGCTTCTCTGTTTTCTCCCAGTATGTCAAGGACTTTCAGTCAGAAATCTCCTGGGGCAGAACAGAGGAAAACTAGTTCAGTGAACAGGTCATTAACCAATAGTTTGGAAGTAGGATCTAGGAACATGAAAGCACCTGATGATAAAAGTGCTCCTGTCACCCCGTGTCCCGGCCAGAGTGAGGACTCTGGAAACAGTTTCAGTGTGAAGAATGATAAAGAGAAGAAAAGTGAAAGTTGTGTACCTGAAAACGCTAACCATCTCAAGGGTAATACTCGACTAATTATCTCTAAAAATGACATGCAGCTGGCGAGTCTTAATAAGAGCTTGCAGGAAGATTCCTGTAAACTTCCTTCTTACAGGGTTGAACCTGGGGAAACTGCACCATCTCCAAGCCAAAATAACCTTGGTACTGTACAAAGTGGTGTTAAGTGTATTCCGAATAATAGTACAGACATTGGAGAAAATGCTCCAAATTTCCTAGCCTTAGAGAAGTTTGAAATTCAGGTTGAAAAATGCTTATACGACCCTTCTAAAACTTCTCCTTCTAGGCAGTTTGAAAACAGTGCAGATGTAGATACTATACCTGTTGTTCCCACCATTGCTGATAGAGTGAAGCAAAGAACCAGAAATCCTGACGTGAAAACTGATGTAGAGGGAAAATCCTGTATTGAAGTACCAGATCAAATTACTGATTTCAAGCCAGAATGCAGTGTGAATGAGAGGCAGGCTGATGTTACTGAAGACCAAGATATGCCAGTTGTTCCAAGGATGACAAGGAGTAATCCCAGTAAAGGTAACTTACTTGCAGAAGATGAGCACCTTTCAAAGAATACAGAAGTACAAAAAAGGGTTCCCTCCGAATCAGCCCCACAAGAGGATTCAGATAAAGAGATGGAAGTCGTGGAAAAGACTGGTGATGGCGATCAAGACAGACCTGAGAAGTTGGTGCCCGAAGCTGAAGAAGTACAGTGTGAGAAATTTTGCCAACAAAAGAAATCAAGAAAAAGCAGGACAGAGAGGAGAAAGTCGCGTAGTTGTAGGCTGTCGCTATTTAAGGGAAGTACTCATACTTCCGTAGCAGAGACAGAAAAAGATAAGTCTTCGCCAGAGACAGCTGATGTAAGAGAAAGTCATTCAAAGGGTAGGAAAAGTGAATCTGTCAACGTTGGTATTAAAAAGGAAGCTGGAAAGACTCCCCGCGTGCAATGTGATGAAACCAAGCCAAACTGTCAAACAAGCTCTTCGTCTGATGATTTCATTGCTAAGAGTGTTACAAAGAAAAGTAGGTCATGTAAACTGTTCAACCATGAAGGCTGCTATGCCAATAGCGGTGAAGAACTGGCTATACAGGAGTTGGGTATTGTAGTGCCAAACATTGCAGATAGGGTGAAGCGGAGGAATCGTACGTACTTATCAGAACTGTCAGCTGATGATGGGACGGGGGAAGATAGTGCTTTCGAGGATGTAATGTCTTTCACAGAGAAAAAAGGTTGCAAGTCGAAAAAGGCAGATGTCTCCGTGAAATCTGTCACTGAGGTCAGTGCTGATGCAGTTACCTGTCACATATCACCAGAAACTATGGATGACCTGTCTGCATTCGCGTTGGAGGCTTCCCGTGACAGAACTGGTGTTGCTGACCATGACAAACAGGGAGCAGGTTCTTGTGTGGTTGTAGTGCCCAACATTGCAGAAAGTGTTAAGAAAAGGCGGTCTTGCACCCTGTTCAATCACAAGGGCCAGTATGCCAATAACGGGGAAGGCGAAGAGGTTCTCGGTCTCGAGGCTGGGAATGATGTGGACAAGATGTCTCCGAACTTCCATTTTGATGATGACTTCTTGAATATTCCCAAGAGAATATCCGCCTTGAAGAGCAGTAACATCTCTACTGCTAGTGAGCGTGAAGAGGGACTGAAAACACAGGGTTGTGGTAGGTTAGGTACTAGGAAAGATAAACTTTCAAAATATGGTGGGAACACAGCTGTTGTGATCAGGAGGAAAAGTTCATATTTTCCTGCTTATTCTGTTAAAGGTGGAGAGGCCAACTGGGCAAAGTTCCGCTCAAACCGAGACTGGTGTGTGGGAGAGGAAACGACGCAAACTGTTGCTAATGACAAGGGGATATCTCACAATGAAAAATCTCGTAGCACCGTTGAAAGTTCAAAGGACTTTCATGATACTTTATTACAGAAATTAGCTGGAGAATGTGTGCCTAATTATGATAGTTCTTGCAACAGTCCAAAAGCTTCTACTGTGAAAAGGAAAGATAGTGTAAATTCTCCCCGTGCAAAGCTTGCAGAGAGTCCAAGATTAAGGCTGCGACTGAGGAGAGAGCCGAACAATGCTGGATTCTCCTCCACTATTCTAGAAGACGATGTTGTCATCAGTAGTTTGAACAGTGAAACTGAAAACTCGATTGAAGAGAAAAGGCTAGTTAGGGATGATAAGAAAACAAGAAGGCGAGAAACAAGAAAAAGTAAGTCTAAAAGGAAGCAGACAGTACCTTCACAATCTGCCACCAGTGACACTGGGTCTGTGGATTTACTGCCTTCTCCGCCCGTTCTCCGAGGCAGAAAGAGGCACAGGACTGGCTCACAAACTCCAGGGAATACAGAGGAAAGTGTTGATTGTAAGCCGACTCAGTCTGAAGAAGCCAAAGTGCTTTCAGATTCAAAGCGTGCCTCAAAGAGAAGAAAACTAGACTTTGAGAAATCAAGAAGTGAGCGTACCTGTAATGTGGGTTCTAAAGTAGCTGACTGTGGACAGACAAGTGGGGAGGATTTGAAAAAAGCTACTCATATCTCTGATGAAGTGACTGAAAATAAAGCTGGCTCACCTCCCTCTCCTCCAGTCTTACGGAAGGGAAATGAGTCGTCCACTCCCAAGAAAAATGTAGCGAATGCTGAGGATAAGGAGAAAGTCATTGAAGAAAGTGTTAAAGGGAAAGATATTTTGTTGTCTGGTAAGAAAGTGAAACTGAGTGACAGTTGGAAGCTAGTGTCGGACAGGAGTGTGGCCAAGCTTCTTGAAAGCGAGCAGGACGTGGCATCCTTTGATGGTTTCACCGGGTCAGCCCATGACCTTCCGTCTGACATCACGTACACTGAAGCCTCAGAGGTGGAATTCGGTGCTTCAGAGAGCAAAGACTGGCTGTTGACGGAGAACTCTACCATTTGTCATGAGGGGACCACTCGGACAAACTGCACAAAGACTAATGAAGAGTGTGGCGAGGATCTTCTGGAAGGGGCCCCTGCGAATGACTTTGGCGACCTGCTCAAGTTTGTCCCTTCCTTTTCTTCCCCGGGCAAAGCTGGGACTGACTCCTCGTGGGGTGATATATGTGACACCTATCTTAGTACTTCGATTAATCTACGCTACACGCCGTCCACCAACTGGACTGACACTACACGCAGTCCTCGACGTAGAGGGCCAATGTCTCCGTTCACGAGTCCCAACATTAGCTTTAGCCCAAAAAGGGTCAGAGTACCAGACTGTGACAAGAGAACCCCTAAAAAGTCCTGTGTCCGGGAAAAGATGTCCAATGACTTAAAGTCAAAAGACACCCAGAGTAAATGTATAGAGGCCCTGGACACGTTCACTCCGGTTAAAAGTAGGAGCAGAGGTGACGATTCTGTAGGCTCGTCAATACAACAGGTCGATGATGTTGTATCTTTTAATTACATGAGCCCTCAAAGACTGAACTTTAGTCCCATTAAGAGTCCTGACAAAAGTAGAAGCATACCAAACAAACCTAATTTTAGCCTTCTTCCAGAAGTTGTGAAAAGTCCAAATCACAAACAGAGGCTTAAAGTAACAAATACAAGTAAGCCTGTGCTGTCAAAATAGATGGGAAAGCCAAACAGGGGTGTGCAAGCCTAGACCCCTTGGCAATTGTGTGTTTTAGTTTTCAGGCTAGTGGTTATTGGTCAGTAGAACAATTGCTCACATGTTTCTTACATGGGCCATAAATGGGTTCATACTTTTGTACAATTATGTATATTTGAACAGTTTCGCGATAAAACATAATGTATTCATTTTTCCGGTCTTAAGAAAAATGAAGATTTTTGTTCTTTGTCTATAATTTACTAAATAATCTTGAGCAACTTTGGTTTTAAAGTAAACCCGATGTAACACTTAGTTGATGTTTGCTAATTGATGAAATCTTTGTTGGATTCTTATCCTTTTAATTGATGAGGTCTCCACACATTTTTGACAAAACGCGACATATCCACTTAAATACTTTAAGGAAGGGAAAGAATTGCCGACAAACTTTTGTAGACCACAAGCAAAGTCGCGTGACTCGAGGAAAGAAGACTCGCAGAGGATATGTTGCGGTTTGTCAAAATAGGTCTGCTGCTTTTGTCTTGTTATGTAAAAAAAAGTAGCTTTCTGCAGTTCTTTAAAGAGGACAAATCATGTTTTGTAAAAGTTGACTGTGGAATGTGCCTCACCGTTATAGATACGGCGGTACTAGTTTCAGCAAAACTTTGGAAATGTCGCTTGTCACAAAACTGTTCATGTTGGACCTTGGTTAAAGTGAAATGTCCCCCCCCCCCCCCCACAGACAAGGGTCTTCAGTTATGGTTGCTAGCTTTCTTTAACACTGGTAAATAGAATCTGTAAAAATCATTTTGTTTGCAGCTTAGTATTAGGCTTTATCCAATAAATAGTGCAGAGGTATCATGTGCCAGTGGCGCTGTCTAGCCTTTGTCCCAACATTATTCCCGTGGCCATTTATTACACATACACAATTTTTGTTGTTGAGCAGAATCAGCTTTTTCTGAGATAATGTTATCAAATGGTACATGTATAGTTTCTGCCTGTGATGTGTCTAAGAGAATTATAATGCATTCGTTCATTCATCCCTGTGTAGTTTCACATTGCCATGATGTGTTGCAAAGTGTTGGGAGTTGATTTATCCCGAGTATTGTTTGTACAGACAGTAGGTAGCTGGTTGCATGAAATCAATGAGCTACTCAATTTTGAAAGTATGTATTTATTATACAATCAGAATTTTGTGAATTTATTCTCCGAGTTTATAAGATTTGGTTCTAGGTTAATTGCATCTTTTAAATTGTATATTTTATTATGTTTTCTGCTCTTTATTGTCTTTGTAACTGAATTGAAACCAATGCAATATTATAATGTGCAAATTTTGACTTACTTTTGTAAAGTGGATGCTTTTATGGTAATGCGGGAGTAGTTCTTAGACAGTAAGTGTGATGTAACTTGATGGTGAAGAGAGACAGGGGTGAAAAGTTTTGCTTTAGCCTATTCACAGCTATGTGACGTGGGGAAATTTCCCAAGTGTGCACGTGGCTTTACTGGCTGTGGTGTGACATATTCTGAAATTTGCAGGTCCTCAACAGTCTTGAGATGAGTGGGTTATGGAGAATTTTATTTGAAGGGGGGGGGGGGGGGGGGCTTCTGTATGCTGCATAAACGTTTTTGCTAGGTCTTGTTATGTATGTAATTTTTTATGTTGCAATTTGTTCCATTGGCTTTTATTTGTATCGCCAAAATGAAATGATGGTGTCGGGCTCAAGAACACTTAGTCGTGCATATGGTTCGGGTGTACATCATGTGTGAGTGTGACTTCAAGAGAAAAGTGTGTGCTAAAATAGATTTCAATTTACCATGACTAAGGAAGGTTTGTGTGATAGAATTTGATAGCTTTTTCTCTACAGTAAAGTAAAAATGAGCTTATTTGGACAAGGCCTCTTGTATCATAGAATGATGTGCTGAGTTATGTATTGTGTACCCAATATTTATTAAAATTCATGATTGGAAATTAACCGTCTGTGAAGTTTCTTTTTTTTTT